CTTGTTACTACTAGTAAGGCACTTGTTACTACTAGTAAGGCACTTGTTATTACTAGCGCAAGTTGGTGCTTGACACCAGCGTGCATTTGTGACTCCGCATGGAAGTGAGACCGACACTAGTCCGACGAGAGTGGTTGAGTCGAGGTCAGCAAAGTACGTCCATTTTCCGTTGAAGAAACGGAAACGAGTAGTAACAAGTGCCACGCTAGTAGTAACAAGTGCCTTACTAGTAGTAACAAGAAGCTACTACGGAAACGACAGAAGTCTGACCTTTAGGTGGCAATGGTTGCTTTGGTTCTGCCCCAGAACATCAAGAAAGCCATGGAGCGGAGCTCAAGATGCAGAAAAAAAAGGACTGAAAGGCCACAGAAAAATGCATGGCAACAATGGAAGAACATCTCAATTCGGCCTCCAACCGATTAGACGAGCAAAGCAGTCGGCGGTGGCAGAAAGACGAGTCGCAACTGAGGCTCACCTCCGGAAGGCTGCTGAGGTGTGTGGCGCAAGCCGAAGCGGTGTGACGGTGCGCGAAGCCGACGACCGGTCGTCGTGGTCTTTGCTGCAGGATTGTCAGTTGGACCTAAGCCACATGTGCAACGCTGAGAGCTTCTCCGGAGCTTCATCGACAGAACCGATCTTCCTTTGCTAATTACAATTCTAATTAAATTCTTATTGTTACTAGTAGTAAGGCACTTGTTTCTAATAGCGAACATTGTTACTACTAGTGAGGCACTTGTTACTAGAAGCGATGCACTTTGTTCCTAGTAGCTTCCTTTCCGACCTGTCAGGAAAACCACTGACTGGAGATGGCTTTGGGGCGACAAGGAAGTCTTGGTCGTCTTTGATTGTTTGGAAAGAGCCCCTTCATCAGCACTGATTGTTTTTCACCAGTGTTCACTTGTGCTGAGCCGTATATTGTGTAGGTTGGAGTTTTTTTTAATCTAGTTTAAAGCTACTAGTAGTAACAAGTGCATCGCTTCTAGTAACAAGTGCCTTACTAGTAGTAACAAAGAGCTACTAGGAGTAAGAAGCTACCTGTCCTTTCAATGTAATTCTAATTTAACGAACGGAATGAGTCTGCAAAGCTTCGTTGGTTCACAAGGGACGACCGAGGATCGCACGGACCTGGAAGGACCATGTAAGATGGGTCGAATACACACTATTTGCTACACGCCGCTACACCTCAGACTCCCATTTTCGGAAGAGGAAGAATGTTCCTAGTAGCGATGCCCTTGCTCCTAGTAGCGATGCCAGGAGCCCCTAGTCGCGAACCTTGTTACTAGAAGAGGAAGAGGACGATGAAAATGTCTAAAGAACGAAAGTGCCACGCTAGTAGTAACAAGTGCATCGCTTCTAGTAACAAGTGCCTTACCAGTAGTAACTATAGTAAGGCACTTGTTTCTAAAAGCTTCTTGTTACTACTAGCGTGGCACATGTCCTTCTTTCACATGTTCGATGTGTTCCGAAAGCAAAGAAGGACATGCTAGGAACTGTGAGCACTGCCTAAGAGCCAGCTATCACCGACCTTTTCTACAGCGCAGACCGCAGCTTTAAGAGTCTAAGAGCCTGAAGAGATCTGAAGGGTTAATCTCTGAACAAGTTTCTGCTGACATGACATGCTGATGTCTCGGGTGGCCTTTCTGGGTGTTGATGTGAAGCGTGGTGTGGAAAAGGCCCAAGCACCTTGAGACTCCAGAAAACCAGAAAAGCGTCCGATCGCTCCTAGTAAGGCCAGGAGCTACTAGTAGCGAACCTTGTTCCCAGTAGCTAATTACTGACGAGCATTTCGCTTAGCTAAATCAATTCTCGAGATCATCGTGAGCCAAAAGCGACTGCACTAGTTGACAGTGGACCTCCTGGTCGAAGTGTTCCGCACAAAGATGAACCGAATTCGTTGAACGGAAGTGGACAGAAACGAAGAACCCAAACAGTGTTTTCTTTTCACATGTAATAAAATGCAACCTAATAGCAATGGCTAGTAGCAATGGCCTCCAACCTGATAGCAAGAAACCAAAGCCATCCAATGCCAAGGCCAAGCTACTAAGCCCATACGGTATCCAGCTGTCAGAGCAGGCTGAAAGAAACGAGAAGCGTGTTTCAGATCCAGTTGCAAAGTGTTACCAAACATGCACCCACATGTGTGCAAGGAATGTGGTCAGCCAACTAATCCAGTTTTGAAGTCCAGGAATCATGTCCGAAACAGTATGATGTGTCCTCTACATATTACTTGTTTCGTTTAATCCCGCCTTTCATTGCTCCGCGCAGGTGAGGCTCTTCCTCAATCCGCCTGAGGAAGAGCCTCCACCAGAGCCTCAGGCCGTTCTTGGGCCTGGAATGCAGGCGTCCCCGGCAGTCCTTTTGTTCCTTCGCGGTTTACCTTCAACATGAGACATCATGAATGTATGATTGCTCTAGAGGCTTCCTTCATATGGTAATGTGCCAAACCCTAACAAAGGATATGGAACTTACAAAAGAATGATACCTCACAACACGGTTCCAACACATTGGGAGAGGATAGCGGAATTAACACCCCTTTTGTTCGATGGGTTTTTGATTGTTTTAACCTCTCGAAGTCATGTTCCGAAGAAATGTGAACCGAAACGATGGGACTTGATCTCGCTCATGAACTCGCTCATGTTGAGAAAGGGTGCACTGTCACGTGTCTCCGGGAAACGGCACCTCCCACGAAATCAAGCACAAAACCAAGCGAAGCCTTTGGGCAAGAACCAAACACTGGAAACTTTGCATGTGTCCATCAACACAAGCGCCTAATTAAGGTGCTCAAGCATCTAAAGACACTTGAAACATCGATTTCAGTAAAACCTTCTAAACATTCCCCGGTTGCCCTTTTGGACAACGTCTCTTTGAAACGTGTCCTCTTTGCATCGCTCGCGCTCGTGTCGCTCGCGTGGCTCGCGCTCAGCTTGGGCGCTTGGCCTTGTTGGGCGTTCCCATTGTGCTCTCCGGCGTCGTGAGAGCCAAAGGGCCGGTCACGCCGGCTCCGATTGCGAGTTACGGAGCGCTCCTGGCCTTACTAGGAACAAGAAGCTACTAGTAACAAGTGCATCGCTACTAGTAACAAGTGCCTTACTACTAGGAGCAAGAGGACGCTACTAGGAGCAAAGGGCATCGCTACTAGGAGCAAGGATGCTACTAGGGGCTCCTGGCCTTACCACTGGGAGCAAAGGACGCCAGCGTAGCGTCCGATCGCTAGTAGCGATGCCAGGAGCCCCTACTAGTAGCGATGCCCTTGGCTCCGTTCGTAGCGGCCTCCAACGCCATGGAAACTGTGTCTTCGTAGTAATGATGCGTCGACGTGTCTGAATCCGTGGCAGGTCTTGGTGGCAATACTGCACAGGCGATCGTTTGCGCGTGTTTGCAGAAACCCGATCGTTTGACGATGAAACACCGTCGGCTGTGCGAACCTGCCAGGTCTGTGCTCCTCCAGGCCTTGGAGAACTGTGCCTCGCTCGGGAAAATCCGCTTAACACGGTTTAGTTTAGAATTTGATGTGTGTGTTTTATTTATTTAATGAACACGACATGTCACTCTCTATGTTGTACTCTTTGCAACTTGACAAACAGCGCTGCGGGATTGTTTCTGAAAGCGTCTGATTTGGTTTCATCCCCAACGGTTGATTGACAGGCATCTCAGTCTCTTTGTTTGCCAGCTTTCATTCCAGGTGCTGAGAAGGAACTTTTTTTGCCACACGGCCTCACGTGCAAAACTCAGCACCCAACGTGCCTGTGCACAACATAAAGAGCAGAGCAGAACACCCCATTTTCGAGAGAAGGAAGGAAAGAAATGGAAAGAAAGGCATGTCATGAAATGAACAAGAAGCTACTAGGGGCTCCTGGCCTTACTACTAGGAACAAGTGCATCGCTTCTAGTAACAAGTTCGCCTTTTCGGTCTAGTTCGGAAAGGAAAACCGAAAGTGTTTTTGGAGCGCGAAGAGTGGGTGTTGCGAGTGAAGGGTTCGGTGGCGTTTTGGGGAAGCCATGCGTCGCCATCTATCGATGCCCTTCGTTCCGTTCGTAGCTTCTTGTTCCTAGTAGCGTCCTTGTTACTACTAGTAACAAGTGCCTCGCTAGTAGTAACAAGTGCCTTACTACTAGTAACAAAAAGCTATTAGAATTAAAATAGAATTAATAGCTTCTTGTTACTACTAGTAAGGCACCTGTTACTAGAAGCGATGCACTTGTTCCTAGTAGCTTCTTGTTCCTAGTAGCAAGGGCAGGAGCCCCCAGTAGCGTCCTTGCTCCTAGTAGCGATGCCCTTGGCTACTAGTAGCCATCTATCCGTTGCCAAAACTTCTCGCCTTCGTATGGCCTTCTTAGGATCCACGACCGGCTGGAAGTTCTCAAGGCGCTCCCTTCGACCAAGAACGAGGCACCTTTGAGCAGTGTCATGAGTGCTTCTTCTGTCTTTTCGACCCCAAACCGGAAACGAAAAAGAAAGCAACGCCGAACTTGCAAGTGTTATTGAAAACCAAAAGGAAACGAAAAGAACTCCGGAACTGCGAGAGGTCAAGGATCGGCCTTCGCATTTGGGTCCCGCCTCTCCGACCTGTTTTGGGTGAGAGATTTATTCGGAACAAGTGCATTACTAGCAAGAAGCTACTAGGGGCTCCTGGCCTTACTAGTAGCAAGAGGCTACTAGTAACTAGAGCATTACTAGGAGCAAGGACCCTACTAGTAGCTAAGTGCGTTACTAGTAACAAAGCCCTCGGAGGCGGAAGGGCGAGTTGACATTCGCGTCACCAGTTTCGCACGTCAGATCACGGGTCCTCCTGCGCACAAGGACGAAAACAAAGTGAAAACGTGTTTGACTAGGGGCTCCTGGCCTTACTAGGAGCAAGAAGCTACTAGAAGCCTCTTGTTACTAGTAGTAAGGCCAGGAGCGCCCCTAGTAGCGTCCTTGCTCCTAGAAGCGATACCCTTTGTTACTAGAACACGTGTTTGACACGGAAATGGTGCGACAAGGGAGACAGGAGACAGATTCAGAGCACCGAAATGAGTTTGTCCAGGAGTCTGGCGATGAGTCCGAAGCTTTTGCCGGAACCTACAAGGCATCGCCCTTCGACCGATCATCTTGATCAAAGTAGATCTGCCTTCCTGCTCGGCGCAAGGCCTTTGCTTCACCGACAAGTCGCTACAGGCTTTCTACAATATTTGGTCTAAGATTTGGTAAAAAGAACAATGATAGATATAGATACTTATCGAGTCATACAGAATTAAATACTGAGACAAAGTTCCAAGCAGAAGTTGTTGTCTTTGGAAGATCGGAGGAATGTCTTTGCTTCAAACATCTGTGAGGGGAGTGCCTGGTGCCGATGCCTTTGAGCACGTGCTCATGAGCGCTCTGAAGAGCTACTCAGTGATTTGGGACAGTGCGAGTCGTGTCGAGAGTCGAGACATGTCACATGTTGAAACGAAGCGATGGCCATCAACCTACTAGCGATGCTATTTCGTTTAAGTTGCTACCATCAGGTTTGCATGTCCTTTTCCTTTTAGCTCCTTAGATTCTTCTGTGGGATTTTCTACGCCTGACCTGCCCTACAAAGACACTAAACCCTCTCATGGGCTTGCCTACACCGAAAGGGATGGTGAGACTTGAGTGATTCCCAAATCTGATATTTGAGTTGCCTTTCATTCTTCATAAATTGCTTTCTTTCACTCGTTTTTTCCTTTTGTTTCTTTGTTCCATCACGTTGTCCTTTTATCGCTTACAGTCTGGCAGGACTTGGTCCATGATGCTCCGCCTCGATTGTTGGATCAACTGGTGAGGCGATGAGACACACAACGCTTTCGTCACGCAGTCAACACCGTGACCACGGAATCAGACACAGAGTTCTCTGGCGAAAGGGGTTGCATTCGTGAGTTACTTCAGAGTTCCATGATGAATCCAACAAAACAAAAAGTTTGGGGTGATTCTGCGTATTCATGAATTATTGCGCGTCGCTTGACGCTTTCAGAGCATTGTACAAAACGCTGCATGAGAATGAGATAGATTCCGTGTGCGTCCATTGATTTGCGAGAGAAATCCAAACAACAATTGCTGAGACCATCGTGCCCTGTCCTTTTCGAGAGAAATAACGCCGCGAACACGTGCAAGTTTTGGCCGCAGCGGATGCCGAAACCGGCCACAAAACATCAGCCCATTGCAGTGTCTCACAAAGGAAGAAAACGCAAAGCGCAAGTCAAAGGAAGAACTCGACGCGAACAGTTGTGAGGGAACAGAAACGGCTGAAAGACGGCAGAGACACACGTTGCACATCACTGCCCTATTTACTCTTAAAAGTCCATCGTCCCGTTGACTTCGGTTCGATCCAAACGCAGAAAACACTGTCGAGACGTTTGCAAACAGAGCCAGCCATGTCGAACATCGAAATCTCTTTGCTGCGTCCAAGCTAGCGGCAAGGTAGTAGCTGCTAGTAGCTCCTGGCCTTAGCTACTGGCCTTAGCTGCTATCAATCCGTGCAGGGCAAGGTTCGCTCCTGGCATCTCGCGTAGCGAATCGCTTCCTCCGCTCGCAGGGCTTGGGAACCTCGGTGGCTTCTGCCGGGTGAAACCATCGTGGCCGACGAAGAGCCCGACGCCGACTTCGTCTTCGTCCTGGTCCATGGCTCCTGCGTGGCCGGAAGACCCGGTCTTCCCGGGTTCGCGTCAATCGCTTCGAAAGCGGTTCGACAGGTCCGGTGGAGGTTCAAATAGATGGAAGTATAGTTAATATGTCACGTTTTATGTCTCTAGTATGTCTCTTGTAGATTCTAAGTCGTATGTTTGTAATAGATTTTTGTAGTAGCTATACGTAGTTCAAGCTGGCAAAAAAACACTGGTAGCTTGCTACTATATTAACAAGGACGAAGACGGAATCTGGAAGCTCACCGAGTGAAAATGGGACCTTGCAGACCTTCTATAAGGTGGAAAGCAACCCGCTTTCGCTTCGACCGATTTCGCTTCTTGCGACGTCGCCTCGCCCGAAATCGAGGTCTTGCTGGAGGACCGTGAGATCGAAAATGTGGGGCAAGGCGAAACGGACGAGACGCGAGAGATGCGAGAGATGCGAGAGATGCGACAAAAGCGAAACGGACCGAAGCGAAACAAGATCACCCGGTGACAATGGTTGGTATTTACACATGCCATGCACTTCATGCACATGTTAGCGATGGCCTCCAACCTCGGTCTCCGCTTTGGATGAGGCTCAGTGCAAGGAGCTGCGCAACTGTTAGCTCTCAATGGATGGACTCGGACCGTGCTGAGCTCAACCGGTCGACTTTCGCGGCGAGGAGATGAGAGGAAATCGGTTCAACTGCGATGTTCATCGGAGTGGTAAGGTGCCCAACATGGTCGCTTGTAAGCCCAAAGAGAGAAACATAGCCGATGCGAACGGTTGGGTTGGAAGAGTTGGTGTCCCTGTATAGGTGAAGTTGTTTCACTGAAGTTTGGATTTGTTTGTTTTGGGCAAGTTGTTCGAGGTCCCGAGGCTCCACTCAGTTCTTTGTTTGTAACTTCCACTACCACTAGTGGTACACCACCACTACCACCACCACCACTACTACTACTGCTGCTACTACTACTACTACTAATTACTACTGCGCTACTACGATGGCGACGACTACTTGCCAATGTTCGAATAAGAAGTACAGTATGGTGGTGAGTAGGCTTTGAACTGGCAGGTTTCAGTCTTTGGTTTCCACTCCTCTTCTAGTGACTTTAGGGACAAAGAAATACCTGTTAATGTTGACCAGGTTCCAGTTTCTTTTTGTACCGTGTTTAGAGGCAGAGACATCACTTGTTGCCCTTCAGTTTGTTCTTTTGTTGTGTTTGGATCCTTGTGTTTCGATCCGCCCTCAGGTTCAAGTATCCCCGACCTGCAACGGTGAGGCAATGATTCAGGCGAGAAGAGGAAGCCTAGAGTGGAGGCCATTGCTAGTAGGTTGGAGGTCATCGCTATTAGGAAACAACTAGGAGCAAGGATGCTACTAGGGGCTCCTGGCCTTACTACTAGGAGCAAGAAGCTACTAGGGGCTCCTGGCATCGCTACTAGGAACAAGGACGCTACTAGGAGAAAGAAAGAAAAGGAAGAAAGTTGTAATATAGCCATGACACGATGGTCTCAGGTCATGAAGCGCGAGAAGTTGATTGACATGCTGGATGGTGCACGGCCAAATGTATTGTGCTGGATGGTGTACTAGTAGCTTCTTGCTCCTAGTAGCGATGCCCTTTGTTACTAGTAGCTTCTTGTTCCGAGTAGCAATGCCAGGAGCTACTACTAGCGTCCTTGCTCCTAGTCAAATCATGCTTTGGGTGCCAAGGTCATCCCTTGCCAAAAGCTCGGCTAAGAGCTTTGGAGCAGTCCCTGCAAGAGGGGAAGGAGGAAACGCTCCGAAACGAAGCACAGACTGTCGGAGTTGCCAAGTGCACACATTGAACGTCCCAAAAGGCATATTCACCGATTGGAACCTTCTAAAGCATTGAACACTCCGAATTTCGGCCGTTTTCAAGGGATCCGAAACAAAAAAACGTTCCGACCCAACACCCTGCACGTTCTCCGCGCGAGGCCGATTGGCGAATTCTCCGGAACATTCCGGCCTTCGGCTCCTGTGCCTTCCAGCCCTTCCTCGCACGCTTGCACAAGGTCGATACCGAGCGACGTTGGAAGTCCATTGATGCGATTGATGTCTTGTTTGGCTGTCATTGTTTTTGTTTGGCTCCATTGCGTTCTCATGTCTTTGAGTTGTCTTGAATCGTGAATAGAGTGCAGTGGATTTGTCGAAAAGCAGCCTCTAATAGCAAACGAATAGCCCCTAGTAGCGTCCTTGCTCTTAGACTCTTTTGCGTTACAGGATGCTGACATCCGACTCTTCTGTGCGGGTGACATGGTGGCCTTCGCTGGAGACCCTTGCATGCAAAATTCAACTGCCTCTTGGTCGTGTTCTCTGTTCCTTATTTGAATCTTGATTTCGATAAACAGAAACAATGTCAATAATTTTTGGAGGAACGTTCATTATTTATTAAAATTAATAGCAAAGTGCAAGACTGCAAACTGTCCATATTTTGCTTTTGGAAGAAAACTCCGGTTGATGCCTCTCCTTTGAGAAATCGGTGGCAGTGGTGCTAGTGGTGCTAGTGGCAGTGGCAGTGGTAGCTGCCACAAAAAGCTGCGGGGGCCACGAAATCTGCACATTTAAGATTCACATCGCGCGGCTTGGCCAATGCGTTTCGAAAGAGTAGGCATGTCCAAAGACAATATCGAGATGCCAAAACACAGCTGTCACTCGATATGTCCCCCAAAATAGCTGTAAACGAGCCACATGGTCCAAGTTCGCAGTAATGGCGCTGCGACTGCCACGAGACTGTGCAACATCGACTTGAGACCATCAAAGCACAAGGATTCGGGTTGCGCCCAGTCCGAGCATTTGCTTGGCGCTCGCTCCCATGCAATGTCTATGAGGCTGCGAATTCGAACTTTGAAGATCTCGAGGGGCATTGCAGCGATCTAGCGCAAAATAGCAGCGAACTAGCTGCCCACGCCCGACAAGCACCTGGATCAAAACGGCTTAACCATTAAAGCCGTCCTTTCTCGCTCCCAGGTTGGAGGTTAACGGTAAACAGAATTACATCCTTTCTTCCGGGAAGCGACTCGTTTGCTGTTGAGGACGATTCCGCCGCGATGATGGTGGTTTTAGCGGGCACCGTGAGGCGATCCGCGATCCGCTCCGCTCCGACGTTTCCGTTCGGGGTTCCGCTTCCGCTTCGCAAAGCTTACGTCCGACAAATACTGTATGCCTTTTTGGAAGATGTTTTTTAACTGGTCTCTTCGTCACTTCGCGGTGGGGTCTTCAGGTGCGAACAACCTCAGACGCTGTTCTTTGTGGAACTCCACCGTCGGAAGCTCTTCAGACCTGTCAACAATGTGTGGCGGTCGTGTGTCCCAAATCGCATGTCATGACTCAACCTCAACCTAATAGCTTCTAGCTACTAGTAAGCTATTAGTAGCTTCTTGTAACTATAGTAGTAATGGCCTGCACCCCAGTAGCGATGCCCTTTGTTCCTAGTAGTATTGTTGTTTCTAGTAGTAAGGCCAGGAGCGCCCCTAGTAGCGTCCTTGCTCCTAGTAGCTTCACATGACACATGGACTCATGGACTCGCATGACTCCCTGAATCGTATTTGTGTCGTCTCGTCTGAGGTGGGGAGTGGTGCTACCAAGACAACATCCTTGGGAACACACCCACCTTTGGACATGATGCCGTGGCCGCAGGGGTACCCAGGATATTCTTCAAACAACTTAAAGAAGACTGTGCCATGTTTTATCTGACATTTTTTAGGTGATGTATGATGTGTTCCGCAGTGCTTCTCATTGAGTATAATCCGGTGTTTGACCAGCTCTACTTGAACGGTTTTGACTCAAGATTCCGTTGAGTGGCGACAAGATGGACAGAGCGAACATTGAGAATGCAACTCGTCACCCTCGGTCTGAAAAAAACATACCGTTTGTTGCTTTGTTTGTTTTGCGCTTGCTGCTTTCGTGGAGTGGTGACGGGCCGATTCCTCAAAGGGCTTGGCCGAACGTGTTGCTCCACCATGTTGTATCCGAAGTCTTCCAACGCTCCGTTGCCGAGCTTCGTCAAGGGCTCCGTTGAGAGGGCAGTCTTGGCGATCCTTCGCTGTCGAGATCCGCTCGTCGCTTCGGAGTTCCGTGGTCCGTCGCCTTGAATGCGTACGCCACGGCTGAGACATGCCATGTCCAAGTTGCATTGTAACACTGACAATGTGCACTAATAGCTGTGGTCTTCATTCGGGATTTGGCCAGCAGTGTGTGCTTTTGGCCCAACAATGCAATATTTTGACAAGGCATTCCCAAACCCATGGCAACTAGTGGCGTTTGGAATGCATAAAAGACTTGTCACGAAACGGTGTTGGTTTTGTCCTCCGTGTGAACACAGGATTTAAATACAGCAAAACATCATAATCTGTGAACGCAAAACTGTTTGAAGAAAAGATACCCACTAGCGATGGCCTCCAACCTATAGTAGCTTCTTGTTACTAGTAGCGATGCCAGGAGCCCCCAGTAGCGTCCTTGCTCCTAGTAGCGATGCCCTTTGCGGCCTCCACCAGCGACCTGTCGTAGTGTGAGGTGACAAACGTCTTGGTCTTGGTGCTCTACCGTCATGCCATGCAGAATGCGATGGTCGCCTATCCCGAGACCCGGAAGGCGACAGTACGTTTTGGCAGAACTTTCTGACCAAATTTGAACGACTCAAAGAGGCAATTCTTGTTTTGGCATGTGTTATGTCCATGTTGCGAGGTGGTCATCGCCAATGAGACATGGAGGAAAAAGACCGGTTGTCCAGATCCTGCAGGTAAGGACGCTACTAGTAACAAGTGAATCGCTTCTAGTAACAAGTGGCTTACTACTAGTAACCACAAGCTACTAGAAGCAAAGGGCATCGCTACTAGGAACAAGGACGCTTCTAGGGGCTCCTGGCATCGCTACTAGGAACAAGAAGCTATTAGGGGCAAGAAGCTACTAGGAACCATTTCGGTTTCCGCACCTCGACACCCAACCAGGTTTGCAGGTCTTCCGGAAGCTTCCAGTGACAAGCTGAGAGAGTGGAAGAGAGTGACAGTGCCTCCTAAAAAAGCTTCAATCAGCAATTTGGCCCACTCAATAAAGTAAGGGAGCTACTACATATGGACGCAGGATAGCTCACGCTTCTTCAAGGAAGCTCCCCTGCCTGAGGGCAAGGGGGAGCTTCCTTGAAGAAGCGCTTGCACCATCCATGTGGGTCCTGGATCTTAAGAAAACCTGACCTTCTCGACTCTTCTTGTCGGTGAGTGAAGGTCTCCTGCTATGGAAGATGCCTTGTGTCTTGGAGATGCCTTGTGTTTGGTGATAGGCCTCCCTACTGTCTGACGTGGTGGAAGAGGCAAAACCCGTCTACTACAGACCTTGTCCAGACCTCGGAGAGCCTTTTTGGGTTCGAGGTGTGTGTTCTCCTGTTTTGCAGACAGACCTTGGTTCATGTTTTCCTTATAGACCTCTTTTTACTCCTCTTTTTTTTATCTTTCTTTCTTGGCTTTTTTTACTCTAGTGTTCCCTTCGGTGCTAAGCGTCCGAGAATGCACCTGATAGGTTCTTTGCTGTACTCCTCCGGTGAACGTGTGGAAGACAACGCAATGCTCTTTGTTTTGCGTGGAGAGGAGATCCGAGACAAGACTTCACGGTGATTAGTCTCCTGATAGTTGTCAAAGAGTCATTGAATTCGGTATGTTTGCATGTTCTTTTCATGTTTTTTTTTTCACAACTTTTGAAACGAGAAGTAAACCGCAGTTCGAAGCATCGAAGCATCGAAACCGCAGTTGCAACTGGCCATCATGGGCATAGAAGTTCGACGGATCGGGGCAGGCTGGAGATGTTGACGAAGCTGTCAGAAAAAGCGGAGTTTTGTGTCGTAGTAGCGCAAAACAAGGAATTGGAACAACACAAGTTGCATGAGCTATCCTGCGTCCAGCTAGTAGCTAAAGACTAGCTACCTCTCTTCTTCTCTTCTACTAGTGGCCTACCCTCTCTCCCCCCAAAAGAGAAGTAGCGAACCTTGCTACTAGTAGTAAGGCCAGGAGCTTCTAGTAGCGTCCTTGTTCCTAGTAGCGATGCCAGGAGCCCCTAGTAGCGAACCTTGCTACTAGTAATGGCCTCCACCCTAGTAGCTCCACTTCTTTCTCCGTCAGGTGGCTACGTGGGATTGCATCACTTCATGGGCCTCGAGTGTCCCGAGCCCAACGCCCGGGGCCACAGCACAGCGGCACCCGAGTGGCAAGCGTTCCTAAGTTCCTACCATGTTAATTATGAGAGGTTATAACAACCTTCAGGAAAAGACATCCTTCATGATTTTGTTTCAATTGTCTTTTTGTTTCCAACTGTTCTTCTTCATGTTCTTTCATTCTGTGTTCTTGCTTTATGTCTTCTCTCTGGACGAACCAGCTGAAACCTGTCGACGGAGTTGTGGTCGCCACTGTGAGGTGACCATCAGATCCACGGCAGCATGTGATTGCTTGTTGTTGCAGTGTGACTCTCAGTTCTTTCACAAATTCGTTTTGACATGTGACGCAACGCGGACATGGTCAGACATGGTCGGAACCAGGCAGTCCACCATTCAAAAGGCTTTGGATGACGATCTGATGGAGGACGACATGTTGCCGTACGCCCTGGTCATTCGTCGTCGTCCGATCTCACCTGTCGAGTAGAAGGGAAAGAAGGGAAAGCTGAAGCGAACTGAGAGGTTTTGAGATTAGAATTGAGAAGTTCATGAAGCTTAGGTTGAAGGCCTACTAGTTAGATATAGTTAGATAATATTGAGAAGTGAAGCGCTGAAGTTGGGATAGCCGACCGCTTCAGGTACACCGCGTCCGTTCGAGTTTTGGCGGGCGGTGAGATCCTGGACGCGTTCGGCTTCCCCGTCGGTGATGGAAGCAGATCACTGAGTGAAGGAAAGCGACAAAGGAGAAGACAGGAAACCATTGAACCATCTATAGACTATATAGAACAAAGAAAAAGACAAAGGACGAGCAACACGGAAAGCTGCGATGCTGTGTGAAGAAACTTCGTTTTATGAGGTGCCAAGAATGTGCCCGATTGCGTGGAGCAAAGTGAGGCCAGGTGTGTTGAATTTGGTGAAGCCAATTCGTGCAGAGCTGATAGACTCATAGACTGATAGACTCTATAAGGTTCGCTACTAGGAGCAAAGGGCATCGCTACGAACGGAGCAAGGACGCTACTAGGGGCTCCTGGCCTTACTACTAGGAGCAAGAAGCTAGTAGAAACAATAGACTCTATATGTTTTCCGTCGATGATCAACATAGGCATCGACAGGCAAGGGGGACAGATCTGATGAGAACCTTTTGGAAGAGCCGTCAATTTGGAGGAGAGAATAAAGGTTAAGGCCTGTTTTTTGTCTATGCAAACCATAGGGAAACTGTAAAGGCTGTAAGGAACAGGGACCGGACATCAACTTGAAGAAGGCCAAAAGCTATATGACCTGTAGAAGCCAGAGCTGTCCCCACCCACCCAGATACACTGGCAGAATAGAACCAGTCGGGGTGACTGATACAACATGAGTGGTGTTTGCTGTCATGTCGGGCGATTGGCGATATGTGCTGTAGTTATGTTTGGTGTTGTCATTGTGATTTGTCAGTGTCATGGTTTGTTGTTTGTTGTCGTGCTGGGTGATGCGCTGCAGCAGCAGGTAGGTTGTTTACTTCAATTCTAATAGCGCTAACTACTAGTTAGTTGGAAAAGGAAAAGCGACGGCAAACGGGAAAATAATGGAAAGACAGAACTGAACGGTGTAAACCTTTGGGGCAAGAAGTTAAGCAAAAGGATAGGGGAGAAGAGAGACACCAAATGTCTGAATGAGAGCAAGAAAGGTCGAAAAGGCAGATTGAAAAGAAGAAGTTGGAGACGTGAAATTGGAGAATCAAGAGTTGAATGGAACGCTCTAAATTCCGTGGACTGTGGATTTGGGACAAGCAGAATGCGATGAGTTGAAACCGTCAGGTCTTCCGAGCTTGCTCGAAGAGCTTTGTGGCACAAGTGGCTGAGATTGTGGAGGAGCAAGAAACTCCATTTGTTTCCTTGTTTGAATTTCATTTTTCTTCTCGCTTTATTTGCTTTTTGCAGGGGCCTGAACTAGGTAACAACATAGCAAGAGTGTCGAAAGAGTTACAAGGTAAGAAGAAAAAACAAGCATAAAAGCAAAGCAACAGTTCAGAGTGGTTCGTTCTTCCAAGCAAAAAGATGTATTTGCATGATGCCATTCGCAGTGCCACAGAGACGTCGTCGACGTCGCGGCCAATGCCATGCGATAGGACTTGGCTTTCTGGCCGGGTGAGAAGCTTTATTCGCAATATGAAGAGGAGCGACGACTTACTTAGACCCTCTCCACCACTCTGTTCTGAGTTCGGACTGTTTTCAGGGTGACATGATGTACTTCATCAGGGCAGGTCGCGTGCGATTAGAGGCGAGAAAAGCAAAACATGAAAAAGACCAAGGGCATCGCTACTAGCTGGTTGAGAAACTAAGTAGCTCCTGGCAGTAACAAGACTAGTTGTGAAACCATAGCGCTCATGCAGGTCTTGGGACGTCGAGACCCCGAAGTCGTGGAAGCAGGTGTGCGGGGAAAACGAAGACTAGGAGCGATCGGGCGCTTCTAGTAACAAGTGCCTTACTAGTAGTAACAAGAAGCTATTAGAAACAAGAAATACATAAATAGAATTTAATTAGAATTGAAACAAGAAGCTACTAGCACCTTGCAAGGACGCTACTAGGGGCTCCTGGCATCGCTACTAGGAGCGATCGGACGCTACTAGGGGGACGAGAAGACGAGAAGAAGAAGAAGACATTGTTTTGTCCGCTACTCAATTAATTTAGTAAGCTCCTTGCTTTTTAAGGTACTACATATGGATGCAGGATAGCTCACCCTTCTTCAAAGACCCTCCCCACCTGGATGCCCGGGCACTATTCATGAGGTTCCTAGATTTTTAGGAAAACTTAACCTTTGGACCCCTTTTGTTACTACCTACTGGATGTAGGAAAGTCCTGTGGTTCGATGTTTAGGGAGACTTTCTTGAGCACCGCAAACAAGTGGATAGAGAGCTACTAGTAGCAAAGGGCATTTCTACGAACGGAGCGATCGGACGCTACTGGTAGCTCCTGGCCTTACTAGTAACCAGAAGCTACTAGGAGCAAAGGGCATCGCTACTAGGAACAAGAATCTACTAGGGGCTCCTGGCATCGCTACTAGGAGCGATCGGACGCATGTGCGTTTCTGGAAGGCACGACACTGGGAGACATGGCCGTGCTGGACCAGGCAACTTTGAGCCGAACGGCGTAAACCATCGCTAGCAGGTTCCTTGCTTCCCTTTGTCTTCGGGTCTTCGGTCTTCGGGCCTTTCTTTCTTTCTTTCCATTCTCAAAGTTGAATGTGCCGCAATTTGGTCTCTAGACTTGATCTGCTTTGTTGAAGCGATTCAGTTTGTGTCAAGGTACCTCACTATGTGGAGACCGCCTATGCAGAGACCCATGTTTGGGTCCGTGCCCTCCACAAAAAGCACCTCGGTTGAAGCAAGGCGGAATGGCGAAAGGCCTCACAAGCGGCACGCCTTAGGCACCAAAAGGACTGAAAAGCGATAGTAGTACGTCCTAGTAGCCCCTAGTAGCATCCTCCAGTAGCATCTTTTTGTTCCTAGTAGTACGGCCAGGAGCCCCTAGTAGCGTCCTTGCTCCTAGTAGTGATGCCAGGAGCCCCTAGTAGCTGTTGAATAAGGCAGCCCACAAAGTCAATCAACAAGCTGTGAAAGTTTGTCCAAAGACACTCTCACTTCTTGGATCGTTTCCAAAGAGCCATTTGGTCGTCGCAAGGCTACTGCGCCGATCACTTTCCTCCTTTCCAGAGGAGGAAAGGTGCATGCTGGGCCAGGTGGGCCACCAGTCGAGACGAGATGTGCGTTGTTGGGGGGGTAGGAAGCTACTAGAAACAAGTGTCTTACTAGTAGTAACAATGTTTGCTATTAGTAACAAGTGCCTTATGATTAGTAACGAATTTAATTAGAATTGTAATTACTAGCAAAGGAATCTACGAGTGTCGCCAAGGTGCATGCGGCCAATCCGGACATCTTTGGCTAAGCCCGTCCCGGAGAGAAGGTTCGAGACGCGAAGGTCTTCGTTCGTCCAAGCAAAGCGAAGCAACGGGGCCTCCACCCCTTCGTCAAGGAAGCCAGAACGACACAGTTCAAAAGTGAAGAACGAGACACACGATTCGCGGGAAAATCTCACCGAGTTTCACTCGAAGGATGCCAACCGCATCCGCGTTCGCATCCGCGAGCGTCGCGCGATGCAAAACAAGCATCGCATGGTCGCATAGTGTTCGGACGAAAATGGGATGCCTGATGATGTGATTGGCCTGAGGTGGCACAGAAAAAACGCAATGCAAACAGTTTTGCCGTGTCACATGGCAGACCACACAGCATAAACAGTGCCACAGTGCCACAGGCAGGCGCACAGCTTGCCATTACAAACTGTTTTTCAGTCAGAGCCTCCTACAGGCACCAACATTCAGGTTCTTTAGGACGCAGGATAGCTCATGTTTCTTCAAGGGCGGGGGGGGAGTTTCCTTGAAGAAGCGCGTGCACTAATGATTTGGTTCCTAGATTAGGGAAGCTTTTGTCGTGTGATCCAGAGCCGTCTCAGAGCAAACAGCAGAATGGCACAGTCATGACATGTTGTTACCACTGACCACTTCAGCTGATTTGGTGTGACTCGCTCAACCGAAATTTTCACAAACAAAGAGAATACAAGTTGTGGAGTATACAAGTTGCTACTAGGAGCAAAGGGCATCGCTACGAACGGAGCAAGGACGCTACTAGGGGCTCCTGGCCTTACTACTAGGAACAAGAGGACGCTACTAGGAACAAGTGTCACGCTAGTAGTAACAAGTGCCACGCTACTAGGAACAAGAGGACGCTACTAGGAACAAAGGGCATCGCTACTAGGTGCGGTGGGGAGTGGCAGGTGCGGTGTGGGATGTCGCAAGACGCGAAGCCGAGCTTTTGGGGTTCACCCGGAGCTTTTTTTTCACGGTTTGTCTTTTAGAGCAATGGCCTCCACCCTACTAGAGATGGCCTCCAACCTAATAGCAAACTAAAAGCGAAGACCTTTCTGATGCCCTAATAGCGATGCCCTTTGCTCCTAGTAGCTTCTTGTTCCTAGTAGTATGGCCAGGAGCCCCTAGTAGCGTCCTTGTTTCTAGCGATGCCCTTTGCTCCTAGTAGCTTTTTTGCTTCCACTAGCGTTTGCTTCCTCACCTCGTTTCGCTTCGCAGGTGCATGGCAGGTGCCAAAGGTGCCAAGAGAAAGCATGAGAACGGGAAGACGGAGACCGAGCTTGAGACTAAGGCATCATGAAGTCGTTTTTCTTCCACTCCTGGCCTTACGAACGGAGCGATCGGACGCTAGTAATTACAATTCTAATTGAATTATTTTTGTTACTAATAATAAGGCACTTGTTACTAATAGCAAACATTGTTACTACTAGTAAGGCACTTGTTCCTACTAGCGAGGCACTTGTTACTACGTCCGTACAAAGGGCGGTGCCTTTCGGAGCGGACAAGACGTTTGGACGGTTTGGAGGCGAAGAAGTCCGCTTCGGCGTCCCGTTTGACCTTGGAGAAAGCCAAGGCACGACAAACCAAACGACATAAACGACACGAGAAAACACACGTTGGTTTCGTGTTTAGCGTTGGTTCCTCCGTTCCTCCGTAGGCCTTCTTTGAAGAGCATGGCATCAAAGTGCATCTGCCGGCGGGGAAGGCAAGGCGAAGTCGAGACACTCAAGTCATCTCAAGTCTAAGAAGACAAATACCAACTCAGTTCCGTTCAGCGCGCCACAAGCAATTGGATCTAATTGGATATCCAACATGACTGATCTATGACATGTACCTCCTTTTTTCGACATATTTGGTCCTGTCTTATTCGTTTTCTTCTTTGGACCTTGCTTTGTGTTCTTTGCTTTTGTGAAATCTATCTATCTGGTGCAGATACGACGTCCACCCGCTGGAAAGCCAGGATGTGGACATTACTCCCTTGGCGGGCTTCCAGTGTGATGGCTTTGCAAAGCGACTGACAAAGTGCCACGAAAATATCACCTTGATGAACGAGAAGTTCAAAGGACATAGGAAAACCACAGAAAGAAGAAAACACTGCTTTGTCATTATCCTTTGTGGAAATCATAGTCGATTTGCAAATTCTAATTATCTTGAATTGAGAATCAGAGGTATTGCCAGAAGAAGTTCGAGAAACCAACTCCGATTCAGGCGGATTTGCAGTGGCTGTGCCGTCTTTCCGAATTCGACGCCTTTCTTGTGAGAGTGGTGTCCAAAGGCGTGCACTTGGCCGTTAATTATGCAGCACCTAGGCGAATATGGGACAAAGAAAAGAAACGCAGAGAAGATTTTGTCTTTTCAGGAAAACGGCAGAAAGGACAAGGAGAACATCAGAGATAGTTATAGCCATAGCCAAGTTTTTGAGAGCTTAAGATTCGATCAGACCCTGTGAGTGACATCTGAGGAAGAGTGACGTTTGCGGCATCGCCAAGTGTCTCGGATTTTGGGAATGGCTTTCCGAAGCGGTCTCCAAAGAACAGGCAGCGGTCTGGCGGTCTCCAACCTTAAGGACCGGCAGTGGAAAGACCTTGGCCTTTGCGATGCCATACCTCTCCATGTCCAGGCGAGACTGGCGCGACGTAGCTTCTTGCTCCGTTCGTAGCGATGCCCTTTGCTCCTAGTAGCTTCTTGTTACTACCAGTAAGGCACTTGTTACTAGAAGCGATGCACTTTGCTCGCAGAAAACGTGGGCGCTAAGAGTCACGAAGAGTCACAGATGTGACGAGTCCGCGCGCATTTGGCGTTTGCAAGCGATGTTGGAGCAGCTTCAGAAGTGCGTGAGGCTGCGTGGTGCCGGTCTATGTCTCATTTAACTTGCAATTTAAAGAGTGGCCAGGTCTAGTCGAAGTCAATTCGACTTTGGTTCCAACGTATATAGTTCTATTTCAAGTCTACTTTCATTAAGCCGTCATTATCATTTGGTTCTGACTTACTTCTAGTTCCAAGATTCAAGGTGTTGATCTAATCAAAGTCTCATTTAGCTTCACCGAGTTCTCATCTACTTCTACCATTATAATTTAACTATAACTTGACTCTAATGCAACTCCAATCTAGTTTTGAGGTGATTCTATTTTAGCTCGATTTAACATCAATTAAATTAAGACGTTTAAACTTAAGTTAAGTGATTCAATTAAATTCAAGACTATGCGTTTATTTTAACTCAATTCAATTTAACTTCCACATGTTCAGACTAAAAGCACACACGCACTGTCGGAGAACAAACTCCGGGAACCTAGGAGACTCCATATGGGAAAATAGAAAGAAAATGGAACAAACGCATACTTAGAAGGAGAAGGAACTAGGAGCAAGGACGCTACTAGGGGCTCCTGGCCTTACTAGGAGCAAAGGGCATCGCTACTGGGAACAAAGGACATAGAAGCTCTTCGGGCCCTTGGATGTGGAACATCCTTCAGCCCTTACCGAGTCCTTTCGTCCGAACTCTGCCAAGGATCGCCCACCCAGACCTCCCTTACGATCCCGGGGAATCATTTTCAACCGCTACTCTAAGGGGATCGAAAAAGAATAGCGATGGCCTCCAACCTACTAGCGTCCTTGCTCCATTCGTAGCGATGCCCTTTGTTCCTAGTAGCTTCTTGCTCCTAGTAGTAAGGCCAGGAGCCCCTAGTAGCATTCTTGCTCCTACTAGCAGCCCTAGCGATGACCGCTAAAGACTCAAAGCGCTACTGCAACAAGTGAAGAGTTGAAACATGTTGAAACATGTTGAAAGCTGGAAACGAGAGGCATACATTTGTGACTTCACATCATGCAAACGCGCATGTTCGAATGATCTCCGCATCAGTCTTATTGCTGACAGAGTTTGACCAAGAATACAAAGCGGTTAAAGAACTTGATTCAATAGTATTGAAAACCAGTTATCTCAGCCAAATATCGTTTAATAGCTCACTGAGATAAATATTTACTCAAACAAAAATGCAGCCGGCTCACAGAAGCTACCCCAAAATGGCCACTTCGGATGTGCAAGTCAAGAAGGAACGGAAGGTGGAGCCTTCTGCACAAGACTTGCACCAGACGTAAACCGCACACATCCCGTCCGTGCTAGGCTGCGAACCTGCTGACGCGTCCAAAAACTTCCCCCAACGGGACCCCTAGCCCCTAGTAGCTTCTTGCTCCTAGTAGCGTCCTTGCTCCTACAGGTACGGCCAGGAGCCCCTAGTAGCTTCTTGTTCCTAGTAGCGATGCCCTTTGCTCCTAGTAGCTTTGCTCCCCACCTTCGCCGCACCTTCCGTCCTCGCAGGGATTAGACGCGTTCTCCTTTGCGGAAAAAGGAAGAAAGTTTCGATGCAGAAAGACGGTAAGATACGGCGTGTTAGGGAGGCCATTGCTATTAGAAACAACTAGGAGCAAGAACGCTACTAGGGACTCCTGGCCTTACTACTAGGAACAAGAAGCTACTAGTAACAAGTGCATCGCTTCTAGTAACAAGTGCCTTACTAGTAGTAACAAGAACGCTACGAACGGGGCTCCTGGCATCGCTACGAACGGAGCAAAGGGCATCGCTACATGATGTTACCTGTTGGTCGAAACCGGCGTGGACTCAGACCGACAGGCTGGGTGAGCTGGATGTCTTTGAGCAGCCCTGTGCTTCTCCCCGGTTCGTGGCCATGGCACCAACAAGGACGAAGACGAAGCTGGAAACTCTTCAAACGTCTTGTTCCTAGTAGTAAGGCCAGGAGCCCCTAGTAGCGTTCTTGCTCCTAGTAGCGAGGCCAGGAGCCCCTAGTAGCGTCCTTGCTCCTACCGTCTTTTGGTGCAATTGCGCAAATGTGTGACAGGGAGCTAGCCATGCAGATTGCAGAGGTGGGGAAACTCAGTTTGCAGATTCTTGCCGACAACTCGAACAGCGAGGTGTGCTGTGAGCTGGTTAAAGCATTGACTGCCGGAGACGAGGACCCGCGTGATTGCAATTTGGATTAGACTTGTAACACATCTTCTTAAATAAATAGTAACAAGAAGCTATAAGAAGCTACTAGGGGCTCCTGGCCATACTACTAGGAGCAAGAAGCTACTAGGAGCACAGGGCATCGCTACTAGGAGCAAGGACGCTACCAGGGGCTCCTGGCATCGCTACTAGGGGCTCCTGGCATTACTACTAGCAAGGATGCTACTAAGCAACAAAAAGCCGATCGAATCTGTTCGGACTCATGTGGACTGAAGGGTGTTGCACAAGTCGGTCCTGTTTGCAGGGTCTCTACCCAGT